GAGAGAGAGAGAGAGAGAGAGAGAGAGAGGGAGAGAGAAAGAGAGAGAAGGAGAGAGAGAGCTTGTCGGTTTTCTAGAGAACAAGAGAGAACGAAAGGGAGACATAGAGAGACATCTGACACACTTGATCGGCAGATCTGAATGCCGTAAAACTCTAGCTAAAAAGTAAACTAACAATACTACTGTCTTCAAACAGATGCGGAATACCATCCTCTAGAGTGACCTGATAATGTTGCAAATGCCGTAAAACCTCTTGCTTGAACTAAATCTAACAAAGCTACTGTCGTGTCACACAGGTGCAGAATACCGACCTCTGGAGATCATCCAGATTTCCAAGGACGGCACGGTCATACGCGACCCTCGCTATGACGTCAACGTGGGCATCAAATGGCCGGGGCCAGGCCAGACGACCTTTGACCTCCACCAGCTGGGTGACCTTGGCAGGCTGACCGCGCCCACCATCCGGGACGGGATCATCTACATCCCTAACGGCCGGAACAAGCTGCTGGTCCAGGAGCCTGAGTTTGGCGCCACTGGATCGGTGACCCATCGCTGGAAGATCTTGGCCGTTAGTCCAGACGGAAAGACCGGGAAAGTTGAGGAGTCCGGTTCTGGACTCGTGCCTCTGACTATTCAGGTGAGGGAATTAAGATACATTATAAAGATTGCGGGTGGGGGGATATGGAGGGAGGGAGAAGAGGAGGTGAAGAAAGAAGACCCTGGGAAGAGTCGGAGGAGAAGAAATGAGGTGGGGAGAGGAAGAAGTGAGTAAAGAAGGCGATGGGGAGAGACGTTAATGTAGTTTTTAAGCTTATAGTAAATCGTGGCGTCGGTGATTTAGTGCATAGGCTGTTGGGCTCGTAACCGAAAGGTCATGGGTTCGAACTCCCCCAGGGTCCCAATTTCATGTCTTTGAGAAAGGCACTTTGCAGGATTTTTTCCCTCACTTTGTAAGGTGGGAATTGATACTCTGCTATAGAGGGCGAAAGATGTTGTTAGAGTTTGAACGCTTAATTGGCTGCTTTTGATGTTTGCTTACCAGGAGGCAACTGAGAACATTTCTTGGTATTCTAGAGTTTGCTCGGGAGTATTAATAGTTGTAAAGCGCACACAGCAGTCTGTAGACTGTAGAGCATGGATTACTGGCCCTACTCTTTAGTGTCAAATTGATTGAGTGGCTAAAATAAGCATTTCACACTGAGATTTTTAAAAAGCAGATAAACAGAGAATTAAGCAAGAAGCAGCGCCTCCCGAAAGCAGAATAAACAAATAAAAGAACAAAAACAAAGCAAAAACGAGCAATCAAAACAACAAAAAAGGAGAGGGGGGAGGAGGGGGAGTCAACGCATCGTAAAAACAGAATAATTATCAGTCTCAAAGATTTCGTAAACCCATTAAAGCACATTTTGATCTTACTTTCACTTACGTTTTCTTTCTGTTTGTAATAAAAGGTTCCATACGTTTTTTATGTTCTGAACTAAAATCATTTTGCTATTAGTAAGCTATTTAAATTTTGCCCAACTAGTTGGACGCAATGAACGAATGGGAACGTGAAAATGTGAATTCAGTAAGCTGGCCATGTCGATGAGCGTGTGTGTGTGTGTGTGTGTGTGTGTGTGTGTGTCTGTGTGTGTATGTGTGTGTACGTGTCTGTGTGTGTGTGCATGTGTGTGTACGTGAGAGTGTATGTGTGTGTGCGCGCGCGTGTGTGGCGTGCACGTGTGCACGTGTAATGTGTGCTTGAATGTGTGTATGTATATATATATATGTGTGTGTGTGTGTGTGTGTGTGTGTGTGTGTGTGTGTGTGTGCGTGTGTGTGTTCGTACATGCATTCATGTAAAGCGCCTAGAATTGTTTTCGTACGGGAGTGGGCGCTATAGAAAGGATTTATCAACATTATTATTATTTTTTTAAATTACTATTATTGATATTATTACTATTATTATTATTATTATTATTATTATTATTATTATTATTATTATAATTATTATTAATTTTAATGACCTTATTTTCTCTCGCACGCAGCGCAAGTATAAGTTTGACCTTCGACCTGCAGTGACGGAAAAATGGTACATCCTGGCACCAGGCGGTTACTTACTGCTGAAAGGTGAAGGTCAAGTCCCCGATCACGTCACCAACAGATACGCCGGCTTCACTCAAGGGTCGCTGGTGAAGATCTTTACCAGAGGCCACGCCCCGGAAAGGTCAGTGATCAGTGTTGCTAGGTAAAGTGGGTCGTTGTATAGCTCGCTTAATTTAAAAAAAACCCATTTTTTTTCTTTGGGGGGAGGGGGAGTGTTTTACGGCGCTCGCAACTGCATAAGGTCATATGAGTGCACGTCACGCATTTACATTTTCAGTTGGTGGAAAAATTTGAATTTTGCCCAGGTGGTTGTTGAAGCCTACTCTTATCGATTTTAGACCACCAAGGGTTCTTTAACGTGCGCAACTTGCACACGTGACCTCCGAGATTTTTTGCCCTTGTCCGAGAAGGCTAGGTGTACATCTTTCCTACCAGAAAACCAGAGGTGTTGCTGAAAGACAGCAGTAAGAAGGAGCAAAGGAGTAGCAGTAGAAAGTCTACAGAAAGAGTCAGGAGCCCAGAGGAGGTGTCAAAGGAGGTGAGGGGGTGGGGACAGAAAGTGGAGACGAAAGCAGATTTCAGCATCTGCAAGAAAGCAGGAAAGCAGGTGAAAGGAGACAATTTTAGATATTTTTTTCCTACGCTACCTGGATTAAAATCCGGGACCTTTGAATGAGAGGCAAACACCTTAACCTTGTAGGCCTCTAGTGTCCCCCGTTCGCTTGTTTTGGTAAGTATTTTACGGTGTTCGCAACTGCCTGAGGCAGGGGCGGCTCGTGGGGCTAAAAAGTGGACGTGCACAATTAAGCTATCGTATGATGAAGATAGTCAAGGGCCTAGTACTGTAAATGAGGCTAATTCTAGGATCTTTGGGTTGGTGAGGGAGGACCTCGTGCTTTTATTTTCAATCTTTTTACTTGTCGCTTTGATTTCTAGTACTAAATTTGTTTGTTAGCTAAACATCAAATTCGTTCATCCTGTATTGGAACTGAACACTCAAGTAATAACTTTCACTGCTCCACTACAAAACCATTCAAAGGCACAACTCATATGACGGTCACATTCACCTCCTCAGGTTCACGGTCACAGAGTCACTTTAAATAGTGGCAAGACAGACAATGAACCAATAACAATTCACTTGAGCACTCCGCTGGATTGCTCCGGGGCTCCCATAATATTGGTAAAGAATAGCGCACGGTCTGTGGCGTTTATTTTTAGACTGCCTACTGTGGGCTATGTTTCGGCACTATTCGACAGGAGCACTTTTG